AAAAACATAATAAATTAACATAGACCTTTTCGATTAATAACCATAATTAAACACCATGAGTTATAACTAAGTCATAATTTGTATATTATAGAATTTTTTGATATTTTTAATTTTTTCAAAAAAATATTTTGATACAAGTGGATTTTATAATTTTTGGTAAATTTGATTAATACAAATGAGGATTTGATTTAAGATTGAGAATACATATTTGTTTTGATAACATTGAAATAAATTATTTTTATGAGTCTTTTACATGAGATCACACACGGTGACAAAAATTTTCTTAACCTATTATCAAATCTATTGTATTTAATTTTCAATTGTTAAACTTTCTATACATAAAGTATTAAGATTCAAAATCAATTTTTTATTTTAAAAATAAACCTACTAGTAACAATATTATACTAATATTTATATTTGTATATCAAAATTTATTTATTGTTCCATGCAGCCAATAATATTAATTTAATGAGTTTTTTTTTTCCTTATGAAGTAATGGTACATAAAATAATATACAAATTTTAATACATAAATATAGATATTACAACATTATTAATTTGCTAATTTATCAGAGGTTGGGACACTCTTCCAAATTTGCAATCCAACATTGGTAAGGTTAAGATCATAGGAACATAACAATCTTATAAGAATATACTAGCGGTAGCTCGTGCGATGCACGGAAAAATAGACTATATATATTTTGTGTGATAAATAAATCATCTTAATCTTAAATTATATCTTAATAGCGACAAGCCATAATATATTATATGAAAGTTTTATTCGTCTCGATCCTTCAATAAAATAAGGATCAAGAAAACAATTTTGATAAGAAATTGATTCTAAATTTAATTATTGAAAAAGCAAAAATTTCAAAGAGAGAATTTAGAGATCGGATTGAAGAAATACTATAACGAATGACAGCCTTATAAAAAAAATTAAAAAAAAAACATAACAATGATCTAATGCAAATTATTTTTAATAACTAATAGAAAGAATTTCAAATTATTACCTTTTATAAATATAGTGAAAAAAATTAATTTTATGAGATTTTTGTGCTACCTTCTCCCATGTAGCCTTTATTATTTCATTATTAATACTATTCTCATTCAGAGCGATAATTTTTTTTTTATAATCTTTATCATTTGGTAGATAATAACGAATAATAAAAATTATCAAGAGAAGGTTAAGAATTTAATAGGAGATAAGAAATTATAGATAAGAGCATTTCATAAGATACAAAATTTAAAATAAAAAAAGATAATATGTGATAGGAGAAAAAAAAAATTACACAGACACCCCTTAAGGTTTGTCTTTAATACAAGTATCCCCTCAAATTCTAGAAATCTCCCTCTCCCTAAAGTTTAAACTTTCATTACAATTTCCTCATTCCATTAATCAACCATTAAGTCAACTAACGGAAAAAACTAATATAAGAAATTAATTTTTTAAAATACCTATTTTACCCTTATTTGCATATATAAAATTGACAAACAATTTACCGTTTAGAAAAATTTTATATGCCCTAATCATAGTCTTTAGTTATGACATATTATGATATTAATTATAACTATTAATTATAACATTATTTTGGTTATGATTCAAAAAGTATTTGGTTATACTTTATGTAGTGTTTGGTTATAACTATTTTTTTTAAAAAAATTATGATTGAAAATGATCTAATTATAATATTTGTGATAATTAATACCACAAAAGCTTATGTACCATAGTATTACCTAAATCTTTAATAGTATAATAATATATCTATTGAATGAATTTTTGTAATTCTTTACAGATTTTCTTTACTTATCTAGTAATTTTTTTTAATTTTGTTTTTTTTTTATAAAAAAAATCAATTATTTAATCTTTATCTTTATTTGTAAGCCATGAAATTAATTTTTATAAGTTATTTATCAAATTTTATTTGTTTATTTATGGGAAGAAATTTTAAATTATCTATAAGTTATGAAATTAATTTTTTTAAATTAATTGTTTATTTTTTATCTTTATCTGTAGATTATAAAATTAATTTTCAGTTTTTATATGTTTATCTATATGGAGGAATTTTGAAATTCAAATCTTTATCCATAAGTAATGAAATTAATTTTAATTTTAATTAATCAAACAAATAAAAAATGAAGAAAAATAGAAAACATGAAAGGCAATCAAATAAGGTTGCCATGTAAGAAAGAGAGTATTTTAAAATTATGAGAATTTAAGAATAAATATTTAGAGACTTTTGACAAAACAACTATATTTGGTTATATATATAGTATAGATTACCAAATTTATTGTGCCCTTCGTTTGAGATGTGGATTAATTTTTTAATTTTTTAATTATTTTAATTTGAGATTAAAAAATTTCATTTGAAATAAACTTTTAATTTCTTTAACTTTTGTTTAAAAAAAAATAATTATAATTCAAATATAATATTTTATCTTATTAAAATAAAAATTCTATTGTAACTCACACTCTGTATACCAACCAGATCATTTCACATGAAAAGGACAAAAATGCATAAATCATATACTTGAAGACTCCTTCTCACTTCTCTATTTTCATTCAAACATTGGAGAGCCAAAATATCAAGCAGAAGGGGGGTCCCACAAGGCACTATAGGCCCGGCAGTGCAGCATCAACATAAATGGGAGAGAAAACAACACCTCACTCCAACCAATCAGACTCCCACCAAGACCATCCTATTCATTTCTTCCATTATAGACATGTGGTACGATTTTAACTTAGGTCTTAATATATGTGGGCAAGGCCATCTCCAACATTCATCAAATCTGATATCAAATTTAAAATTTGATAAAAAAATTATTTTTTTGAGTTCTAACAGTTTCACTAAATCGATATCAAATCGAGAATTCAGTAAATCTTTTACCAAAACGAGAACAGGCGAAGCATTTCACCAAATCACTGTTCCTGACCGTTGGGAGAGACCAACCGGTCAACCAGCCGGTTGACCAACCGGTCGACCGCCTAAAGGTTCAAACGGTTCGAAGAAAAGGTTCAAACAGTAAAAAAAAAAATTTGCCTAACCGGTCGACCAGCCGGTTGACCATTAAAAGGTTCAAAAAGTTCAAAAAAAAAAATCAAAAAAAAAAAAAAAATTTCGCTTAACCGGTCAACCAACCAGTCGACCAACCGGTTGTCCCCAGCACAAATTTGATGAAAGTACACCGTTAGAGCGAGTGGTATCAAATTTGATAAAATTGGTCATTTTTTACTTAAATTTAGTGAAAAATTTGATTCACCGTTGGAGATGCTCTAAGGGTTTCAAATTGTTAGCACATAAATCTTTAAATTATGGTTAAAATTATATTTTTATAGTAAAAATTATACTTTTTTTTGTGTAAAATATATACATCACATACGCAATTTTTTTAGTGCACGGAATAGCCTTTGTCATATTTACAAATTCATTTTAAGATGTAAACAAAATTATATCATCAATTCATTATCGTTGATTGTCACTATAATCATCATCAATTCATTATCATCATCACTCACAAAGGCTATCATGATCTGTCCATAGGCACGGAAAATTATAGATACTGTTTGGTAGAATTTTTTAAATATGATTTGAAAATATGAGTTGTATTTTGAGTTTGTGAGTTTTGAAATTATGATTTGAGTGTAGAAAATTTGTTTGATGAATGAGTTTTGAAGAGAATTTTGAATTGAGTGAGAAATTTTTAATATAACATATCTGATACAAAAACTTACAATTCATAACCAAATACACAATTCAAAAATTCATTAAAAATTTCAAAAATATTGTTTTATTAAAAATATAAATAAAAAAAAGTGCCAATTGCCAAAAAAAAAATAAAAAAATCACACTATTTAGGTCAACCAGCTAGTCAACCGACCAAACAACTAGTCGGACGTCCAAGGGAACGACCAGTAGGCCAAATTTCAAAATTTAAAAGCTTGAGTGAAACGAGTTTTCAAAATGAGGGGTGGAATTAATTTTTCAAAACTCAAACTAAATATCATACTAGAATGTAGGTGTAGAACTATGATTCCAAAACACAACCAAACACAAATTATTCTGAAATATCACGTGTTTGTATTCCTAATCAATCATAATTTATTCTGCCTCCTCATATTTTTCAATCACCCAATACAATACCTCACTTATCTACTTTCTTCATCAATTATAATATTATAAAATATTATGTGTTTATATTATAAAATTACTGAATAATTACCGCTATATGAATAATGAAAACAGAAAGCCCACAAAGCCATCATCATTAATTTACACCACCATTACTTGTCTTCTCTCATTTATCTTCATTCTCATCATCTCACAGCCACACCAATCATTTTCCATTTCATTTTTTACCACTTCAAGAGTAAACACAAATGTGGTAATACATATACACACAATTTAGAACAGTTTTTAAAATTTTAACATGTTTTACTTTTTTTCCTCTAAAAATGTTCATATTATTAAAAGCTCATAATTGTTAATAATTTTAAAATTCAACTCATCTTTCTAATTCAACCCAAAAAAAAAAAAAAAAAATTACAAACACATAATTTAAATATAAAATTACAAATATATTGTGTTCGTACCCACCACTAAGTAATTGCATCTATTTTTATTATTTATTTATTTTTTATTAATTGCATTGTGTGAGGGTTGTCTTCTATCATCTCCATCCAGTATGTGAACCAAGCTTCTATCATGGTGGGTGGGACTATTCTCAAAAAGCAATCCAACTCCCCACTATACACAAGGCGCAACACAAAGACTAGTAGTGGGATGCCCCAACTTACCAATTGCAATAGTTGTGCTCTTTCTCTATCTTCAAAAAAAAAAAAGAAGACAAAAAAAAAGACAAAAAAAAAAGACAAAAAAAAAGAGAGTATATTCTTCTTCAAAATTGAAAATTGGGAAAAGTCTCTCTTTTAACCACAAAATAAATAAATAAATGGGAAAAGTGGCACCACTGCAGAGCCTAGTGCCTCTTCCCTTCCTTTTTCATTTTTCATCTCACAGTTACTAGCCAAGCCAATGCTCTCTTTGTTTTCTTTCCATTCTTTCATTTATTTATATTTCCTAACTAACACATTTATAAATATTATTCCTCCCCTTCTCCTCCTCAAGTGGTTTGTTTGCTGCTCTACCACTGAATTCCCTTATAATCTTCTCCATCCTTTGGAGGGTAAGTCTTCCTCAAACAAATTCAGCTTAACTAACACATTTATTAATATTATTCCTCCCCTTCTCCTCAAGTGGTTTGTTTGCTGCTCTACCACTGAATTCCCTTATAATCTTCTTCATCCTTTGGAGGGTAAGTCTTCCTCAAACAGATTAAGCTAAAAACTCTCTCTCTCTCTCTCCTTGCACAAACTTGAATGGGTATTTCTAGCATATCCAAAGATGCTGTGTTGGTTGGACAGATTTCTCTTTTCTGGTCTACCTGTGTTTGCTATCTTAATTAAAGCTTCTAATTATGCACCACCCTTCTTCTTCTTCTTCTTCTTCTTTAATCTTTTGGGTAATTGGAAATTTCAAGCATATCCTTATAAGCACCTTATGTTAGTTGTTTACTTCCTCTTGCTTTTGTTTTTCAGAAATTTGACCCGAATTTTAATTTTTCTTCTTTCCGCAGCCCGTTAGCACATGAATGAACTGTTTCTGTTTTTAAACTTTTCTCTGCTTTCACATTGAGTTTACTGAGGTTTTTCATTTTGTTTTAATTAGAATTCTGACTGGACTGGATGTATATAGTGGCTTAATTTCTGTGATTCCCTTTGTTTTTTTTTCCCTGGTCTGGCAGGTATTGGCCCATTGATTGAGTGTTCCAGCAGCCAACCCAAATTTCTATTTGTGATTTTGAGTTTCAAGTTAGTTATTCTCTTCATTTTGATAGCCCTTTGTGGTTAGGTTCATTTATTTTTGTCATCATCATGAGTTTGGCCTGGCTGCTGCTGCTGCTGTTGATGCTGCATATGCCTATTCTCTTCAACGTAAGAACATTCTCTGAGGCAGTTTCAAAACCTCCTGATGTTGTGAATATTGGAGCAATATTCACATTTAAAACCATCAATGGAAAAGTTGCAAGGATTGCCATGAATGCTGCTGTTGAAGATATTAATTCTGATTCCAGTATTCTTGGCGGAAAGAAACTGGCTATTTCGATGCATGATTCAAACTTCAGTGGATTTCTCGGCATTATTGGGGGTAATTTTTTTTCTTTTTAAACCCTTCTTAATTCAACTTTTGGGATCTTTAATCTTCTCCTCTTTTATATGTTTCAATGTTTATTGTCAATTTGTCATGGTTGGCTGGCTTATCTTGTTCTTGTGATTTTCCAATTCCTACATTGTTCACAGCATTACAGTACATGGCGACTGACACAGTAGCTATTATTGGTCCACAATCATCCGTGATGGCTCCCGTACTCTCACATCTGGCAAATGAACTCCAAGTCCCCCTCTTGTCATTCACCGCATTGGACCCAACCCTCTCGCCTCTCCAGTATCCCTACTTCATCCAAACAGCACCCAACGATCTATATTTGATGACTGCCATTGCAGATATGGTTAGTTATTTTCGTTACAAAGAGGTCACTGTCATTTTCTCTGACGATGATCAAAGCCGAAATGGCATAAGTGCACTGGGTGATCAACTCGCAGACAGACGCTGTAAAATTTCTTATAAAGCAACACTTCCCCCTGATCCCTTAGCAACTCGAGACGATGTTAAGAATGAATTAGTCAAGGTTAGACTGATGGAATCTCGAGTAATTGTTCTACACACTTACACGATAACAGGCCTTTTGGTTTTTGATGTGGCTCAGTCTCTTGGAATGATGGATAGCGGGTATGTTTGGATTGCTACTACTTGGTTATCTAGTGTTTTGGATTCTAAGTCGCCAGTTTCTCCAAAGATTGCCAAATCCATCCAAGGAGTTCTCACATTTCGTCTCCATACCCCCGATTCAGAAAGGAAAAGGAATTTCTCATCTCGGTGGAATCAGTTGAGTAACGGCTCTGTTGACTTGAATGCCTATGGTCTATACGCTTATGATACTGTTTGGATGATTGCTAAAGCAGTTAGAGCGTTTTTGGATCATGGTGGCACCATTTCATTCTCCAATGATTCCAATTTAAGTGGTCTAATAGGGGGAGGGGCCCTGAATCTTAGTGCATTGAGCATTTTTGATGGAGGGAAGCAGTTACTTAACAACATATTGCAGACCAACATGACAGGTCTAACCGGTCCTATTGGTTTTAATCCAGACAGGTCTAAAATGCATCCCTCCTACGATGTCATTAATGTTATTGGAACTGGGTTCCGGCAGATAGGATACTGGTCTAACTATTCTGGGCTATCTGTCGTGTCACCGGAGGTGCTTTACACCAAATCACCTAACCGCTCAAGTTCCAACCAACAGCTTTATAGTGTGGTATGGCCTGGAGATGCAACAACTCAACCTCGTGGTTGGGTGTTTCCAAACAATGGGAGGCAGTTGAGAATTGGCGTTCCAAACCGTGTTAGTTATCAAGATATTGTTTCACTAGGCAAAGGTACTGATACAGTCCAAGGATATTGCATAGATATTTTCCTTGCTGCTATAAAGTTGCTTCCATATGGGGTACCTTATAAGTTCATTCCATTTGGAGATGGTCACAAGAACCCAAACTATAATGAGCTTGTGAATATGATCACATCGAATGTGAGTAGAAAAATTACTAATGTTTCCTTTATGAATATAAAGTTTTTTTGTATTTCATTTCTGCTGACTCTACTCTTTTAACTTTTTTTTCAATTGTAGGCCTTTGACGCTGTTGTTGGTGATGTTGCAATTGTCACAAACCGGACAAGGAGCGCGGACTTTACTCAGCCTTACATAAAATCGGGGCTCATCATAGTGGCACCAATCAGGAAGTGGAAATCGAGTGCTTGGGCATTCTTGAAGCCATTCACTCCATTAATGTGGGTAGTCACGGCATCCTTCTTCCTTATAGTAGGAGCTGTGGTGTGGATTCTTGAACATAGGATAAACGATGAATTCCGGGGGCCACCTAAGAAACAGCTAGTCACAATTTTGTGGTGAGTACTTTGGTACCTACCTCATTTGATCTCTTAACATATTTGATCTATAAATAATTATGTTATTTTGGTATAAATGTCTATAGATCATCTAAATTAAATCAGATAATGACCGAAACTCTGCTTACTACTAGAAGGCCATAAGCCTATAACATTATTTTATTGACACGATCAGAATCATTAGGTGAATAACAACACTATATTGTGGATTATAAGCATGTTTAGGAGAACTCATATATCATTCTTAACTCCTCTTCTTCCTTTGTTTTCTTATCATGCAGGTTTAGCTTCTCAACTATGTTTTTTTCCCACCGTAAGTAGCAACCTTGGAGATTTAGACTGTATCCTTTCAAGGAATTTAGTGAAATGGTTACTGACTGATATAGTGCTTCAAATTTTCAGGAGAAAACACAATGAGCACGCTTGGTCGCATGGTTTTAATCATCTGGCTATTTGTGGTTTTGATTATTATCTCGAGTTATACTGCAAGCTTGACATCAATACTCACAGTGCAACAGCTATCCACATCCATCCAAGGAATTGAAAGCTTGATAACTAGCACTGACCGGATAGGATTCCAGGTAGGGTCTTTTGCTCAAAACTATTTAAGTGACGAACTCAACATCGCCAAATCTAGGCTTGTTGCGCTTAGATCGCCAGAAGAGTATGCTATGGCCCTGCAGAACAGAACTGTTGCTGCTGTGGTTGATGAACGGCCATATATAGATATCTTCCTCTCCACCTATTGCAAGTTCTCCATTGTTGGTCAAGAGTTCACTAAAAGTGGATGGGGATTCGTAAGTATCTCTCAATACTTGGCAACCAATTTCAAGTCTTTTCTATTTATTAATTGGTATAAATATCACTTGTTTTTTTTTTTTTTTTTAATCAGCATATAAATATCGCTTAGTAATCATAAGTTTCAAGTGGCAAACTTCATTGCACTAGAACCCGATCAGTAACAGACTACCAGGAGTTGATTGATATTAATTTTTTTCTCAGTAATCAAAGTACATGTTCCTAAACACGCACGTCATCTTCCAAAAAGAATCCTTTTATCATGTAATGGGAAATTGATCGAGTAGAATTTCTCTTATTTTGTGGAGAGGACAACTTGTATTAATTTGATCATAATTGATCATGTTCCTAGTTGTTTCAAATTCTTGTTAGGCATTTCCAAGAGACTCTCCCTTAGCCATCGACATGTCAAATGCGATTCTCACACTGTCAGAGACCGGTGAACTTCAAAAAATCCACGACAAGTGGCTGAACAAGAAAGTTTGTGGTTCGCAGACCTCTCAGCTTGAATCAAACAATCAGCGTAATTTACAAAGCTTCTGGGGACTGTTTGTCATATGTGGGATCGCATGCTCTATTTCTCTGCTAGTATATTTCTGCTCGATGCTGCACAAATTCAGCCGATACTTCCCAGAATCAGACGATGAACCTTCTTCTAGTTCTAGAAGTGGCAGTTCTCGTTCTGCAAAAGTCCAGAGATTCTTATCATTTGTGGATGAGAAGGAATCGGCATCAAAAAGCAAGTTGAAGAGAAAACGGACAGATGTGTCATCTAATAGTGCTAGTGGGAGGGAACTTGAATCAGTAAATGGATCAGAAAGAACAGAAATTGGCAATTCAGAGAGAGGAGAAATCGGCAATTCAGAGGAGCGTGAGAGGGATTATGGAGCAGATACCACCTGGCTTCATTAACAAGTGTCGTAGCAAGATCTATACTTGTTTCTCTCAAATTTTATTCCAAAGACACTTCACAAGAAGTTGCTGGCATTGTATTTAGTGTAATAATATATATGAAGTATATGGTAAACCATAAGGTAATTAACAAACAATTAGATGAATATGTATATATATATATATATATTTTTTCACAAGGTAGAATGTTAGATGTTAGTAGGAAAGTTGGATTATACTAAAGAGTATTCATCATTGCTCCATCAGGTGGAATCTCAGATCACGCCGCATCCTAGGGCCGGCTACACAACCACTATGACAACTTCCAGGGTAGAATATGTATAGTTAGATTACCAAATTATGAATGAATATGTATTAGATCCCCAAATAATATTGCTCAACTTGTATTTAATTAATGCTACTCCTACCTGTACCATTCTAAAAAATGTATTCATTTTTCACATCCTTATCTTAGTACACTCATTTAATTAATATGTTAGTTTCTTAATTACTCAACATTTTGTAAATGTTATAATAACATTATCTCAACAAACTCATTAAAATTAGTTGATTACATAATATGTCAAAAGCACATATACACTTGAGCCAATGTATTTTAATTTTATGAATTTCACCATCTTAAACGTCTACATACGTATTAATAATCTAATCTTAGATAACAAAATCATTCGCACTTTGGTATTTCTAATTATCAATATTTATTTCTATGTTATTAGCACTAAGTGAGCAAGTCTCACAGCAAAGCAAGTGCTCAAACATAAAACAATGAGAGGCCTTGTAGAAAATCAGGTGCTCTAGCACCAAACAAGCATGTTCAAAAATTTCTAAAAAAGTCATGTTAGAACAAACAATGAAACTCATAATCAAGGTCCAAAAGTTATGATATACAATGATCGGAATGAATCATATAAATCAAACACTACATCACTTGGTGAATAAAATATTTTATGTGGTTGAGCTTTAGGCCAAGTTTTGCAATCCAAAAATAATCTATTTTTTTATTTTTTTTATTTTTTTTCATCATATCATCTCTCTACTTTTTTACATATCTTTTTATAAAAAGATAAAAAACACACTTATTTAGATCATTGCACATCTTTTCGTAAAAAGATAAAAAATACGCTTACTTATTTAGATCATCCAAAATAACCCCTTAATCTTACTAGCTCAAGTAAAAAATTCAATCAATTCAAAGTCTGAGTTTTTTTTTCCTAAAGTTTTCTAAAGTGGTGTGTTGTATGGATGAGATTTAATGCTAAAAAATTGATGTGATTTGTCATTAAATCTCAACCATATAACATATCACCCTAAAAAATTTAAAAAAAAAAAAAAAACTCTGGAGGAACCTTGATCCTAAAGATTTCGCCTCTTACGTTGTCTAAGAAACCCTAAAGTTAAATTTAAAATTCTAGTCACCGAATCCACACACACTCTCTCTCTGTCTCCGACTGCGTGCGCGTTCGTGTGCGTGTACTGTGAGTCTGTAATAATGGCGATTTGCTGCTATGAATCTGCTGCTTCGAAGCTCATCTCCATCTCCACATCCCCTCCGACCAACCCCTCCAAACCCAACACTTGTTTCTTCTCTGTATCCCAAACCTTGAGATTGAGATGCAACCTCTCACTCCCTTCCAAAACCCTCGTTACAGAACCCCAACCCCTCTTCACCTCCGTCAAGTCCTTCGCACCCGCAACGGTGGCTAACCTCGGCCCTGGCTTCGACTTCCTGGGATGCGCCGTCGACGGAATCGGCGACTTCGTCACCCTCCGACTCGACCCTCAGGTCCACGCTGGCGAGATCTCCATCTCCGACATCAATGGCAATTCCTCCACCAAACTCAGCAAAAACCCTATCTGGAACTGCGCTGGAATCGCCGCCATCGCCGTCATGAAGATGCTCAACATCCGATCGGTCGGCCTCTCCCTCTCCCTCCACAAAGGTTTGCCTTTGGGCAGCGGCCTCGGATCCAGCGCCGCCAGTGCCGCCGCAGCCGCAGTTGCGGTGAACGAGATGTTCGGCGGTCCGTTATCGGTGTCTGATCTAGTCCTCGCCGGACTCGAATCGGAATCGAAAGTTTCCGGCTACCATGCCGATAATGTGGCGCCGGCGATCATGGGAGGGTTCGTGTTGATTCGGAGTTACGATCCACTGGAATTGATTCGATTGAATTTCCCGAACGAGAAAGACTTGTTCTTTGTGTTGGTGACTCCGGAATTCGAAGCTCCAACAAAGAAGATGAGAGCAGCATTGCCAACAGAGATTACGATGTCGCATCATGTGTGGAATTGCAGTCAGGCTGGGGCACTGGTGGCGTCGGTGTTGCAGGGAGATTTGAAGGGATTGGGGAGGGCATTGTCGTCGGATAAGATTGTGGAGCCGAGGAGGGCACCATTGATTCCAGGGATGGAAGCGGTGAAGAAGGCGGCCATGGAGGCTGGGGCTTTTGGATGCACCATCAGTGGAGCAGGGCCTACAGCAGTGGCGGTGATTGATGATGAGGAGAGGGGGAGGGAGATTGGGGATAGGATGATTGAAGCGTTTATCAAGGAAGGGAACTTGAAGGCATCAGCAATGGTGAACAGGCTTGACAGGGTGGGTGCTAGACTTGTAACTAGCATTCCTAGATGATTTTGATCATCATGAATAACAAACAACAAAGGAAAGGACCCCCATTCAGTGCATGGTGGGTGCTCTGTGTGTGTGTGTGTGTTTTGAACCAAAAAACATTGGCAGTGATTGCTGTACTGTATCAATGGTGGTTGGGTTGTCCATCTCATTGATTTGTAAGGGGAGGGAAGGGGAATAAAAATAAAAATGAGCCAGCCACCCAGCCAGCCATATGTGATCGATCATGCCCTTGTGTTGTTTCTTGTGATTTACATCCCCAAATGGTTGCATTTGCATTTATATCACAAATGACTGTTTTACTGACTGAATTTGATTTACAACTCTTCTAAGCTCACCTTCAATTGTGTTTTTATTTTTTATTTTTTCGCGCATCTTGGCACCCTGCCAACACACATACATAAAATTTCCTTTCAGTATTTTTTTTGTGGTATATATTGGCAATGTTACTAGTCATGTGCATTCCTTCATGTTGCATCATTATTGGTCAAGCTCTCCAAATTTGTTTATGTACAAAAAGGTGGTAGTTTTTGTAGAAAACTAGCTAATACATTTCAACATGTGACTGCCACATTTACGGATGGATTGTGACCATGTTTGCATATTATATTATTATTATTTTTATTTGGCAAAATTGGTTGTGACTGAGTCCCATTTTCAGAAAAAAATTCCCCCTTTTATTTTGAAGTCCTCCCACTTAATATTATTCTCCCACAAAAATGTATCCTCTCTCTTTTTTTTTTTTTTTTTTCAGGTGTTGATATGTGCACACCCGTCCATCTCCACCCCTCCATAAAAAAATGCAAAACAATAAAGAAGAAAAAAACCTCAGTAGCACAAAAAACCAAAGGAAAAGTAGGCGCAGAGTTGTAGGACTCTCTAATTACAATGAACAACTGGAAAACACCCTGCTAAGTCAACTTTTCTATTCTGTATGATTGGTATTTTTCTTGCGATAAGAGGGGGGAAAACTACATAAAGGAAATTTGACGCCTACATTGCAGTCCTCAATTATTCTAAGAATTTAGCCAGACTAACATGTAAAATCTATCTTCCCAACTCTTTGAAGTGTTTAGCTAAACCTTAAAAAAATGCTTAGAGCTGAAGCAGGTCCTCCTTTTTGTGGTTTGTTGACCAGACTTCAACAATGGAAGCAATAATTGGCCTTTTATATTCATGTAAAATTAGACATATATATATCATGTGCATGCCATTTTAGGTTGGGTTGGTTAACTCATGGTACTTTGTTCTCGACTCTTTTTACCTAGTAAAAGATAATGACTTGAGCATTTTGTGGTTCAAAACCTTGGGTATCAACTGTTAATTGGTTTGTTGAACCCATTCTTGCATTGCAGGACCTTGCTGCTTAGCACAATCCCTTTGTTGAATAGGAACCCTTGGTCATTCTTGTCATCGGAGGTCTTGTTAACCTTGGAGATGTTGCAAATGCGGCCATCTCAACTGTTAGTGTGGTGGTCTTACTTCTGTTGCTTCGTGATGGGATTTGGGCAATCCCAAACATTCTTGTGCAGAGATATTCCCCCACAAGGTTCGTGGCCTCTGCCATTGCCATATGTGCCCTCACATTTTGGATTGGAGACATCATTGTTACATACCACTCCCAGTGATGCTCTCAATCCGTTGGCCTTACTGGTGTTTTGGTATGTATGCTGTTTGTGTGCACCATATCATGTTTTTCGTTTTCCTCAAGGTTCCCGAAACAAGGGCATGCCCTTGAAGTGATTACGGAGTTCTTTTCTGTTGGTGCCAAGCAGGCAGCGGCTTTCTAAAATCAATTGATGACAGTGTCTGTGATTTTAAAAAAGATAAAAGTTTTGGTTTGTGTTTTAAATGCTGGATTTGGTTACCTTTTTCTTTATATATAAATTTTTGTGAGTAGTTGAATAGTTTTGATATCTTTGGGAAAATTTTCTTGTATGTGTTCTTTCCACCATATCATGCTTCACCGACTTTTTCGTCTATTTTTCTTTTTCCTCGGTTCCCCTGAAAACTTAATAAGAAACACGTAGAGCATCTATAAGAAACATAAGCTAAAAAGAAAGCATGTTCGTAAGGGAACACACCAGCTCTAATCAATGTTGCTGGGAAATCACATAAATAAATCCATTTAAATAATAATAATAACTCTTCTAAGCATTTTTTTTTTTGAAACAATTCTATACCTTTACATTGATGGAGAATCTTGTGTATTTTTTGTGGGCAAGGGTTGGAGGGATACATTCGGATACATGTCACGGTTTTGATAGTCAATTAAGAGCATCTGCATGCGCTGGTGGTGAACCAATCTGTCATAACTTTAAAATGTTGTTCTAATCGTGTAAATGTCATTTTTTTATTTTTCTTTATAAAATGTCAAATATAATGGGTGCTACTAGCAAAGATGTGTGCCTTGCATAAGTATCCACAAGTGCTCTTGAGTATAAAGTTAAAAGATTTAAAAATAAAAATAAAAATTAAAGAACCCAAGATGCCTTTTATTAAATTTAATGTAATTTTTATTCAAATTAATATACTTTTTAATATTTTTATATATTTTAAAGCATTTTTACATATTTTTAACATTAAACAATGCTTAAAACACACTTGTTAGCATTTACTAAGAAGAAATTAGGATGTTAATAGCAACCCAATGTAAATAACAATCCCATCATCATGAATGTGAAGAAAGAACCAGTCTCGTTAAATTTTGGCATCTTGCAAAAGTTGGTGGCAAATTCTGTACGAAATTTGTACAATTTGAATGAGTTATGCTA